ACATAAAACTTAAATAGTCGTGACGAATTGTTATGTATAAAAATCATTATTATGCATTAAAATAATGTTTATTATCGTGTAATTAAGTTTATATATGTAAAATAAATTTACAAATCAACAAAAAAATTAATACATCATAAATTAGTTTAAAAATTCAATGTTTACCGGATGCAACTATGATACAAATCTAATATGGAAAATTCATTGAAATTTTCAGAAAATAATATTTATTTAGAATTTATACAACTTTAGATGTATTATGTATTCGATTATTGAATTTTTCATAGTTCTACTTTAACTGAACTATGGCGAATATTTATCAATACACAATTAATGTATTTATTTTTACATTATGTACTTTATTTGTGGATATTCGTAATCAGGTAGTCTGTATTTATTTAATTGAATTTAAATTAATTATAATCATAAAGTTAATTATGCACAGGCATTAACTTCAATTTTACAACCAATTCGACATGAACCTCGTATTACATACCTTCATGCAAAGTTCAACGAATCATTTGGAAAAATTATAAGTATGGATTATAAACAGTACTATGATGTACAATATATTAATACACACGGATTGGTTTACGAAAATACATATATATCTCATGTAGGTTTACTATATCAATATTTTAATAGTTACCAGAAGTGTAATTTTTCAAAAATTCTTTTTTTATGTAGATATTAAAATTTTTAAAATTTTAAAAAGCATTTTTTCCTTTTCTTTTTCACTCACATAGAATGCATTAAAAATGTAGCCTAAAAATATTGTACTTTTTGCCTTATTTTTTATTTTTATCACTATTATTTGTTACTAGCTGTGAATAAATAAGTGTAATGCTCAAATTATATATATATATACAGGGTGATTTTTTTATCATAACCCACTCAATTACTTACAGAATAATAATAATTTAAACATTTTTTTTTATTATTATCTTTAGTTACACATTATTCTTGAATTATTAACTATGTAATACTTTTTAAGTTCATCCCTTATGCCTGGTAAGGGTGTCAACTTTGTTTTTTTAAATGGTAACTCATATTTTTAATTTAATAAAATGTTTGAGTTTTTAATTCAATAGTAAATGGCATTTGAATTTTTAATAAAACTTAATTTGTTTATTAGATATAAACATTTAAAGTTTCAAATTTTTGAGTTAATATATAGGTATAATACACAAGGGATTACAAATACAGGTAGCTAATTGGTTTTTTATGATATTGCTATCACAGTCACGGATTGTTTATTATCAATTATGACTATCAATAGATATACTTTTTGTATTGTCAGTTAGTGTATTTATAAACTCACAACAATGTACCTTACTATCATTGATAATAACAATGCTGTGTACCTGCTAATAGCAATGTCATAAAAAACCAATTAGCTACCTGTATTTGTAATCCCTTGTGTATTATACCTATATATTAACTCAAAAATTTGAAACTTTAAATGTTTATATCTAATAAACAAATTAAGTTTTATTAAAAATTCAAATGCCATTTACTATTGAATTAAAAACTCAAACATTTTATTAAATTAAAAATATGAGTTACCATTTAAAAAAACAAAGTTGACACCCTTACCAGGCATAAGGGATGAACTTAAAAAGTATTACATAGTTAATAATTCAAGAATAATGTGTAACTAAAGATAATAATAAAAAAAAATGTTTAAATTATTATTATTCTGTAAGTAATTGAGTGGGTTATGATAAAAAAATCACCCTGTATATATATATATTAATAAATAATATTAAATTTAATAATTAAAAGACATATGTTTTATTTATTTGATGAAATAAAATTCTGAAATCATTTAAAAAAAAAATCTTCAATTAATTAAATAGGAAAATCAGTAGATTTCTCATTTGTTCAGTTTGTCAATTCATGTTAAATAGGTGATTATTTATAATATATAGCAGGGTGGTTTCTTAAAAACTTCAGTAGAATTAACATTTTGTTGTTGTTTTTTTAATAATTTATTAATTAAAAAATACATTAAAATTAAAATTTTTTATTATTTGTTTTCAATAATAAAAATTAATATTATTTTTTTTGTTTTTAAATTTGTTTAATTTTTTTGCTAAACAAATTAATTGGTCGATAACAACTTTGGGATACTCTTTGAGTAAAAAGCATTTTAACTCACTGAGTGGGCATGTGGCGTGTAACCTAAACTCTAACAAGTGCACAGCGTTCTTGAGGCGGGGGCGTTGGGTTCGAAATCCCTTTTTCAATTACAGTTATTCTCACAGTTTATATTGATGAGGGCAAAGGGAATACCGTGCAGACCATGTTTACAAAGAGTATTGAAAGGAAGATTTCTATGTAATATGAAGCGACACGGGACCGTGTCAAGGCAAAATGCAGATCTCACGAATATCTTGTTTAACTAGCTTGTACACTTGTTTTAAGAAAGACTGATCTAAAAGGTCTATTAATAATGTTCAAATGGATACACGAGTTTGGGATATGCATATCGATCCAGAATATTAAATTTTTGATCTCCACGTAATAGGTTGGGTTACATTAAAAATGCTTTTAGGTCGATTACAATTTGACCCCTGAAGTTCACACCGAGGTATTCAATACTTTCTCCTTCTGTTAGACGGTATTATAGAATATATAATAATGTGTTTGATGATCTATATTATAGATCATCAAACACATTGATACCTTCATGTCTAAACTAACCCACTTCTGTATATAAATGCAAAAAGAGTTTGATGGATTAATTTCTATTCCTATCTTAGCAAATTCAACAACTCGCTGCGCTGGCCACGTCTTTAATAATATTGTCATATGTTAAATACTTACAATAATATTCTCTAGAGTAGAAATTATTTCAAAGTAGTAGGACCAAAAAAATCAACTTTTGTTTTTTCGTAGGATACATAAGAAATATCCTACATACAAGTTTTAAGAATCTAGTGAAAAAAAAACTAAATCAAATTTCTGCCAAGTACAAAAGACCCTCTTAATCAAGTCTGCATGATTTAAATAAATGGTTTATCCTTTTCCTGTAAAATATAATTTTTATGATTAGTACATTTTACATATTTGCCCATCAGTTGATTGGAATAAATTTTAGTAGTTTCGTTTTAGTTCATTTCAATTCTTTAAATCAAATGCAATTATAAATTAAAATAAAATGGAATATTTGTTTGATCAATGATCTGAGAAACTGTATACAATATTACAATAGTGTTATTTTCAGTTTAATGTGGAAATCATAAAATGTAAAGAGTATTTCATCGATTGTGTAAATCTAAGAACGTATGAGATTACTAATGTTTGTGAAAATATTGTTGCAGCAGTTTACTTTTTAAAAATTGGCTACCGCAATCGTGATATTTCATGTCCATTTCAAGTAATCATATCTTTTAAGTAACCTTATATTTACTAAAAGTTCTAAATTTATATTGTTTGAAAATATAACAAGTAACATTCTTGTAAATTAATAAAATAAAATCATTTAAGAGGATTTTTTTTTCATTAAATAGTATTTAAAAAGTATTTATTTTATTCAGTTTCAAATCAAATTATCTAAGTGGTTTTAAACAGTTTTAATTACAATTATTAATGAACTGAAGCAATAAACATTTTTTATTTATTTGTTTAATTTTTATTTATTATTTATTTTAGGGAGAATATATCTATAAAAATGCTACCGTTGATGTTTCTAAAGCAATGCCAATGTTTTTTGCACCAGCAGAAAAATGGTGGGAATACACTTTTGTAATAAACATTGATATGTTTGACAACAATAAAGTTTTGGGTCTAACTTTCAATTTGAAAGCTTATTTCTTAACTTTCCGCAATAGAAAAACAAAAAAAGTTTAATTAGTTAACAAAAACAAACAACATCTTTATTAATATATTCTATTTATTAATATAATATATATTTATTAACCATCCACAATATTATAACGTTGAACTAGTAAATTCACTATTGATTAAATACTAATATTTTATGTTTTTCTTTATATTACAATATCGATTAGATCATTGTTAATAGGATAAAATTGATTATTGTATACAATTGTACTAATTTAATGTTACAGGCACAATTTAAACAACATTTTTACAAGATCTAAATTAAATTCTCCTTATTTTAAAAATACACGACAGTACAAATATTTTTCTTTTTTTAATAGGGAATTTGATCCCTTAAAATATAAAGATAAACATGCTCTAGAAAAATCTTCTTCTTAAAAAAAACTTGTTTATATGACATAATGAAGATATGACTTCTACTCTATATTGAACAATAAATTATTAACAGAAAATTGGTCAATAAACATTGAACTTTAACGATCAATTGCAGAAGAACTATTAAAATAAAAAATTTAAAAATTATATGAACAAAAGATTTTAATATGACGAAATTATTAACATCATCCCTACATGGACGATTTTCGATAAACTAACTTAAATAATGCTAAAACAGTTTGAAACTGCATAAAATTTGAAGGCTATAAAGGCTATACGCTAAAAATTGTCGACAAATTTTTAATCAACAATCTCATATGTAGATAATTTTGTCATATTTGATTTGATATAATAATTATCTTCCCATTCTCCAGAATCTTTAATTTTCCAAGATATGTTTTGATACGTCAAAAAATAGTAATAGATCAAAATATTCAAAATGTGTAGTTAGTACTTAGGTATATAAAGTTGCGATTCACTCTTCTTGATCATAAGTTTTTTACAATTCTTAATAAAGATTTAAAAAGAAAAACAACTTTTTGTACAATTCACACTTGTGCAAATATATATTTGATTATATAAAATAGAAAAGGTTTAATTCAAATTCTGCATTTATTCTGATAAAAATATGTTTTCTATGATATATCACCCATAAAAATTCAAATAAATTAATCATAAACATAAAAATTTTCATAAATACCGTTGTATAAATATTAGTTCAACAATATTTATTTTGTTTCAATTTATAAGAAAATTGTATAATATCAATGTATTTCAAATTTTAAATAAGATATTTGTCTATAAGTTTTAAAAAATTAAGTTTCAAAATGAATTTTCGTTTAATTACTTTAGGTTTTTTAGTTTTTTTGAACAATACAATAAACGCCTTCAATGATTCATCAAACAATATAAATAACCAAAATTCCAGTAGAGGAGTTAAAATGGTAATTTCAATATATCACCTGGTTCTTATATCTTTAATTTAACAATAGTTTTTTATATGAGTTTTAAATTTAGAATGGAAAGTTCTGATTTATTTTAGCCTTTTAATAAGTCTAATTTTGTAAAATTATTAAAAATTAGTACCTTCACAATAACATTTTATATCAGAAATTTTAATAAAATAAGGTTATAGAAAAACTGTTTTTGACGTTTTCGTCAATGTTCTAAGATTGCTTCTGTTATAATAAAACAAAAAACAAAAAATAGAAATTAAACTGAAATCATGTATCTCATTTAAAGTGGTATTAATTTTACATTCCAATATTTTTTTGACCTAAAAAGTTCAAAAATACAAATACATTAAACGACTGTTAATTAGCAATACTACGGAATAAAGTAAGTATAATGAACTGATTTCAAATTCAATAACGTTTAACAAAAAAAAAAAAACTTATTTTTGTAGGTTTCCAATAATATTTTTATTAAATTAATATGTAGTACTAGGATAAGATTTTAGAATCTTCAGGAATCTTAAAGAGCTTTGACGAAAATGAAATTTTAAGTTAAATATTTAAGATAGGATTTACATTTTAACTGTAGAAGTCATGCCAGTCTAAAATTTACTAGATTTAGATCAACGTAGTGGAGTTCTTTCAAAAATTATTACATTTATTTTATTTACCATATTTTAAATCCACTAAAAACAGTCGTTAAACAACAAAACATCTTAACCTATTAATATTATTTTAATTTATTTTAAAAAGGTTGAAATTTTCAAAAATGACACCGAAAGTATAAGAAATATCCCGAGATATTTCGAAAAAGAAGAAAAACTTTCTTTGAAAGAATTTTTAAGTGTTGTACAAAAATCTTCAAAACATACGTTTAAAGATATATCAATATTTTTGACACATGGCGAATATGATGATCATATAACTTGTAATAACGATATTATTGGTTTAATTAATAGTAGTGATGAAATTGATGATGACTTTGAAATTGATAGTGGTATTATTCATGAAGTTCTAGCAGATCTCGTTTATGAAGTTTTAGGTAATATTAGTTAAAATAAAAATTTATAAGTTTAAGAAAATTGTAATTAATTTGGGAACGTAATTTTCATATTTACCTAAAAACTTTTAAATTTAAATATTTTCTAAAAATTAAAAAAATACAGCTTTTTAATTTATATGTTGTTTACGCTACATTATATAAAATTCTTTTATAATTATAGATATTTTTTATAATATTTTTTTTTAGGATAGCAAAATCAATATATTGACGGTTACTGCAAATCAGTACTTCTGAAATGCAAAATATAACCTGTAATTATCAATTCGCATTAAGCTCATTTAATTTATTTCATCTCTTATAAAATTGATAAATGATATTGAAATGTTAGCTTCTGAAAATAAAATTTATTATTTACCATATTCAGTTTTAAAAAAATGCAAAATTATATGGGAGTTGTTAAATAATAACATGTTTTATAATTTTATTATTGAAATATTAAGTTTGGCATTTCATATTTTTAGAAGAAAAAGGATGTAGCATAGAATTAGTATTGAATAAAATAGTCATGTTAAAATCAATTAAAAAAAAAGTGAAATATTTGAAAAAGAAATTCCTCATGTATAGAAAAAGAAATAATATTATCAATAAAATTAACGCTAGACGTGCAATGAAAGAAGTTGGTTTAAAAGAAAATATAATAAATGATTTTATTGAAAAAATTTCTACTAAAGAAAGCAATAATGTTATCTTTGAAGGTAAATGTTGAAAATTTTTTCTGAAATACTATTAATAAATAGAATAAATACTATTTTAAAACTTACATAAAAATTAAATAAAACTTAAATGTACATTATTTTCATTTTTATTATAGTGGCATTTTAAGAAATATTCATGATTTTATTTTAGTGCCTTTATAGGTGAATGATATAAGCGTATATTATATTATATTATATATAAATATAAGTGAAGAAAAGCATTAATTAGAAGGAACAAAACACCACATTAATTTTATTTAATTTGAGCCAATTTTTATCTAATGGTAAATGTAAAAATAAACATTTATTATTTAACAATTAATTTTTAAATTGTAGTTATTCATTTATAACATTTATCTAATTTAAAAAAAGATATATTGCATAGTTGATTTCTAATAGTTCTATATTTTCTTAGCTTATTAAATGTTTTATATAATTTTAATCATCCACTGATTTCAATAAAATATAATTTAAATTCAATCATATATTGATACTTACAAGAATAAAAGACCTTATTCAATTTTTTTTCATTAAAGTTTTTAACCAATTTAATGTTTTAAAAATTGTTTTTTTAATTAAAAAATTTAAAAAAAACCAACACAGGGGGGTCGCTTTACAGTGGTGACGTGGCATAGTTGGATCAAGTATAATGATATCTGAAAGTAACAGTGACACTATCAAAAAAACACTTCGATGCAAATCTTTAGATACTGTTTAATTTAAAAAAATTGGTGGATTGTTCCAAAAGCTACATGATCTGGTAGTTCCTTATTAATATCTTGATTAAGATAAAGTATGTCGAATAAAAAAGAGATATAAATATTATTTCTCATAAAAAATTGTGTTGATCCATACACTTTTCAATAAGTTATAGCATTATAAAGTTAAAAATGTAAAAAATAAAATCAAGAATTTTCACACAAAAATAGCATTTGGTAGCCATTTTCACCGTGAAGACAAAATAAAGTCCGAAATTTTTTTTTTTTCATGATAAAGTATATTACAATAGATTTAATTTAAGATATATATATAAGTGTCAAACTTTCCGGAACACTTTCAAAAGTTAAGTTGAAAAAGTTGTCATATTAAATCCTCCCCTGTGGGGAGCTTAAGTGTCAGATTTACAATAAAAAATATACCAAATGAAAGGTAAAAACATTATACATCTATAAAAAAAAATTATATTGATTTGATCATTTTTAAAAAAATTATGGCAGTTTTAAGTAAAAAAAAATTGAAAAAATGTTAAAAATTAGCGATTTTTAAATTTGTAATCTTTTTGGAGATTTCCTCCATTTATGGGGAACGAGAGAAATTGTTGTTTTCTGATTTGTGATCTTTTGACGTATCGTTGAAAGAAATCGGTTCAGTGAGAGCTTAGAAAAAGTGGTAACAGACACAAAAAAAAAAAACACACATCATAGTAAAACCAATACCTTCTCAGCTTCGCATCGAAGCTAAAAACTTGAGTTACTTGAGGATTGATATAATAAAATAATAAACCATGGTTTTACATGCTAAGAGTGACATTTAAATCCTAAAGATAAGTTATGCCTCTATAATAACAATTAATAATGTTATTGAATGTGATATGGGAATGAGATTGTTTCAATTGTAATTTTAAGTTCACGGTATCCGACTCCAAGAAATTGGTATAAAGCGAGGAAAAATAAGAAAAAGATTATTTTTATATGTATTTCAACCAATAATTTATATCTGTTTCAGGTATTCTAAATTTATACGAAAAAATATTAAAAGGTATTTGTTGTTTTAAATTAAGATTTAAATTAAGAACGGTTCTAAAATAAATTTATATAAAATATATTTTTTTCAGTATAAAATTCAAATTGTAAGGCTACAATTATTTTTTCTGGCCCCACGCGAGTTCTCCCCTCAAGGGGTGCCATAGTTGTGTACGTAAAATTAAATAAATTCCTCTTCTCAGATGTACATTAAATGCCTTGAGCCTAAATTTTAGTGTGAGAGTAGTGTATTTTAATAATTGCTATTATAAATTTATTAAATTGAAAATGAGTATGCATTTTTGAAAAAATGTTAATACTCTTAAAATATTTAACGGGCACTAAAATGATGATAAAAAAATCTATAGATGTATTGCAGCATCAAAACTCAAAAAATTCTACAATAGAATTAATGATCATTATCTTTCGAATTTCAAAATAATTAGTAGCAATTAATATGTTAGTTGCCAAAAATTAAAAATTAAGTTATTCCCATTAAAAATAACCATTAATATCACATTATTTTAAAAGTTTTACCATGAAACATTATAAAAGAACTAAAGGCTCTATTGTTATTTTAAATACTTTTAAGTAAACAAAATATTATTTTCTTTTTTTTTATTATATATTAAATATTTTATACTTGCTTTATTAGATTCAGAAAAGGAAAATAATCATTCAAGTAGTCAAAAATATATAATGGACATCAAAACTGAGAGTCAAAAGGTATAATTTTAATTAAGTTAATTATAAAAATAAAATTAGCTAAAAACGATGTCACCACATTTTTTTTTTGGTAATTAATAATTTAATTTGACTAATAATTTAATAAATAAATACTTCAAATCAATAACATGATATGGACGAAAATCAAAAATTAAGAAAAAATATTCTAAGTACCTATCCTTACTTTACGTAAAATATACCAAGTTTTCTAAGAATGGAAAGAGTCAACAATTTTTTTTTTAATAAATCTATTAAAAAAATAACTACGAATATTTTAAGTTCTAAATGACTTCATTACATACTATATAGCAAGTTAAATTAAATAAACATATATCTGTATAGTAATTTTATGGTTATTTGAAAAACAGTCTACTGAAATATCATTAATTTTGCGTCATAATTTATTAATTTTTAGGTGACGACTATAACCTTTCTAAATCGCATATACGCTTTAAATATTACTAATAGGTCAACAAATATTGTATAATTATGATTATCACAAAATCAACTTTTAATCGTTTATCAGGTCATTGATTTAAAAAAAAAAAAAGTTATTTTGTTACTTCAAAGTTTATATAATTTATTATTAGGATGAAAATATAAAAAGAGAACTAAAAAGAGTTCATAGTATTTTGAATGCTAAAAGTATAAACAAATCTGACCAGTTGACAATGGAAGAATTTCTTAAATCTACAGAAAATATTACGCAATTTAAGTTTGACTGGTTGAAGTTATTAGAAACAAAAATAATTGATATGAATGATGATGTAAATGACGATGAAAATGATAAATTTGATGATAATCATATAAGAAATATAAATAGTGATTTTGAAGTTGAAATTAGTATTATACATGAAGTGATTGCTGATCTTATTCACGAAGCATTAGGTATTTTAAACATATAACAATGTGAGTGCAAGAGGGCCATATCTCGAAAAAAGTCATTTCGAGATGAACATTTTCTAAGTAATATATTCTAAGAACAACATTTTGTGTTACTTGCTATTTAGAATTTTTATTATGTTCAAATCATCTTTTAAACAAATTAATTGCATATTTGATTTGACAATATTAAATTATAATAAATATATGAAAATATCTCTTACTAAAAATGTTAATGTATTGGCTCTCTCGTACTACACAGTGATATTTTTATCTGTTAAATTCGAATTATTTAGGAAGAAATTTAATAATAAGTAGTGTCTAAATTTTTAAAATTTCAATTTCTTATCAGATGATATATTAAAAAAAGTGTTTTATGACTAATTTTATAAATATTATTTTTTGTTATACCCACTAAAATTAAATATAATCATTTTACTACCGTATTCATTCAACACTTTTTCCTTGAAAATTAATTTTACAACTGTAATTCTATCACTTTTCCTAACGACTCTTGTAATACTTTACTTTTCATCTTTTCATTCATTATTATCCCTACACCATTTGTTGTTATTCGTTGATTTTATCTAAGTATATTATTTTATAACCCTCTCCTATTTCCCTTAATTTCTCTCTCTTTCACTTAGTTTCCTGCAACAAATATTAATTATTTTCCTCTTCAATACTTTTACTAATTCTCCACTTCTACCAGTTAATGTTGCAACATTCCATTTATCTATTCTTACTTTGTATCTTTTTTTTTTATACATGAATTCAGCCTAGAGTTGAGTAATGATGTTCTCTTACCATCGACAATATAAGCGTTGGGTAGATCTGTAATCATGACTGGTGTACACATCTACATTATAAGTTGTCCTGTTGGTATCAAACACTTTATTCTTTGGGTCTTCCCGTCTCTAACTACTTTATTTTCTCTCACCTGTTGTACATCCGAGAGACAACCCGCCAAAGTTGTGTTCAAGACTCTTTATACTTTTTGACAAAATTTTACACTGGATGCCGTCCTGCCGCAACCTCATTAGTCGCCTTTTAAGTCTGGCAGAAGGGTCGTGAAAGTATTCTTACGACCTTCTATGTGAAGGGAATAATAATAATAGTTATGTAATATATAGTTATGCAATCAATACATAATTATTACAGATATTTTACTAATTATTTTTTTTTACATCAGCAAGACACAAATATTTTGTGACGCCTCGCTTTTCAAATTTTAAATTCACATAAAGAAATGTACCAATTTTAATGTTGTGTTCACTTAGCTGTTGATATTCAGGATTATATTCATCTATAGGCTCATTATATGACTCAGAGTGATTAGTTAAGAATTGTTGATTATTCATTTTATCTTCTTCGTCATAATTAGGCACGTAATATTGATACATCAACATTTGCAATTTTAAGTAATGCTTCAATTAGTAACCTATCATAGTTTTCATAAGTCCTACTGTCCATTTTTTAAATAAATATTTATTTTAAGCAACAGAACCAGTGGCAACAAAATTTTTTTTTTTTTTTAATAACTATAATTTTAGATAAAATATACCTATTTTTAATTTTTTTAACAACTAAATACTTGATAATTTACCTTCCTTATCACAAAGAAAATATTAATTTATTATGGATTTTTCAGAAAATAGTATACTAACAATAAGATTAATTCTACATAAGTTACTTATTGCTACAGAAAAAAAAAAGGAAAAAATTAACAGTAGAAGCTCACGGTCATAGAAATTTAAACGGCACTAAAAGTATTGAAAAGAGATTAGTTCAATTACAAAACTGAACGTCAAGATGATCCATTAAAATTTTATGTAATCAAATATATATAATTTTGAAAAATTACAATTAAATTTACAAAATTTAACCTTAGAATATTAGTTCGTCTAAAATATAATACAGATAGCAATATAGACATTTTATGTATACATAGTAATTATGTTTTTAATAAAACACTTGACATCATTTAAGAAATGACTAAAAATATTTTTAAAACGTCAATACACATTAAAATTTAAATGAGTTGAAAAACTCCTATTTTCTATACCTTTTCTATTACCTGAGTATATTATTTTATAACCCTCACCTATTCCCCTCGATTTCTCTCCTTTCCACTTAGATTCCTGCACACAACAAATGTTAATTTTTCTCCTCTTCAATACTTCTACTAATTCTCCACTTCTACCAGTTAATGTTCCCCTATTCTTATTTTGTATCTATCTTTTTCCCTTATACACAAGTCCAGCCTAGAGTTAAGTGGTGATGTCCCTATACCGTTGGCACTACAAGCATTGGGTAGACATGACTGGTGAAACAGTTACCGCACAAGTAATCCGGCTGGTATCAAACACTTTATTTCTTAGGCCTTCTTCGTTTTTAACTACTTTATTCCCTCTCACCTATAGTCCCCACGTAAATCCGAGATGGGAAAATTCGCATAAGTTTTGTTCAGGACACCTCATACTATTTGACAAAAATTTTAAGCCGGTTGTCGGACTGACGCAACCTCATTAGTCGCCTCATATGACTGACAGAGGGGCCTTGGAAGTATTTTTATCCCCTATCCAAAGGGAAAATGCGTGTACGGATACTAAAACCAAAAATATAATTATACAGGAATAGTGTTACCGGCGTGTGGTGAGAGGGGTGGGGTGAATGTCTTACGACAGTTTAGTCTCAAGACCATAGACCACGGGATACGCGACAAATAACACGTGGAGAGTTACAAACTTACAAACAAACAAACATACAGATGAAACTAATATAAGCGTGTGAAAAATCTCGATTTTATTTTTTATACTTTTAACTTTATAATGCTATAACTTTTTGAAAAATGTATGGATAAATACAATTTTTTTTATATTAAGACTACTTACATACTTCATTCATTCGACATATTTTTTTTTTAATTGAACCAATTTCCTTTATAGAGGGGTGAATCAAAACTTTAAACATGCGTATTGAAACTAGGACATTTTCAATTTAATTTTTGAAAGTGTTCCGGAAATACAGACACTTTTATATATATCTTATTAATAGATTTGGAGAAAGTGCATGATAAAGTACCGAAAGAGGTTTTAAAGTGGGCATTAATGAGAAAAGGAGTCCCGAAAAAGTACATTAATATAATAGAAGATATGTATGAAGGCACTTGTACCAGGGTAAAAAGCGTAGGAAGAGTAACATAAGGTTTTCGGGTAAGAGTAGGAGTGCACAATAGTTCTGCTTTAAGCTCTTACTTATTCTCTATAGTGATGGATGAAATTACTAGAGAAATACAAGGAGAGGTGTAATGTTAAAATTTTTTTTTATAAACTGTAATGTTTTTATATTGTCCTGCGCAAGAATCGCAGAATATAATTAACTGACGAATTTGTGCCGGAAGAATTTCGTATATAATATATTCAGCATGGAGCAAACGTCATCTGCCCCTTTCTTCGCGACAGATTCGTTGTACGTGTAAAATATTGACTGTTCGCTCGAAAGAATATCAACATTAAATTTAATAAAGTTTAATTGCCGTCTATAGTACAAAATGTTGGTAGTTATATTAGGAGTGGGTAAGTTTTCTTGATTATCAATTCTAATAGCTTCAAGTGTATCAGCTCACATTGACTTTTTCCTATAACTTCTTTTCACTTTGTTAAATTGTTCAGCTTTTTCTAAATATAAATTTTTTTCCAAAATATGACGTATTTAAAAAAAATGAGTATTTAAGTATAAAAAAATTTTATGTAGCATAGTTGAGACAAGTATATTGTCGTAATATACTTACATTCATAGCGTGAGGGATAATAGTAAGCTACCCTGTTCCAGACGACAATAATGGTCCTTAACCTTTTCGCTTAAGATTAACACTTCTATTTATACATTATATTTATATTCTTGAAGAACATAATTCTTTTCTAACAAAAAATTTAAATAAAAAACTTAGAGAAATATTAACAATCGCATATTGTTTAGTAATAAAATAATGCACACGATTAATCATAAATCGTTCAATTTTAAAATCAACTTTCCGAAAAAAAAGCTATAAATTATTTTGTTAACTTTTTCATTTTAATTTTAATAAATAAATACAAAAAAATTCATTACTACAATGGGGTACGAACCTCTTACTCCAAGAGTGAAATATCTAAGTTTCTCTTAAAAAGAGCAAATCATTTTTTTTAATAAGTTTAACTTTATATGCTATGTGAATTAAATTTATATAATATTTATGAAAATCAATGTACTTTTAAGGTATTTTATAATAAAATACAAAACTGAGAATTTTAACACAAAAATAGCATATTTTTAAATAATGTAGTCACCATGAAGACAATCTATAGTTCGAAATTTTTTTTTCCTTGTAAAGTTTATTACATGAGCTTTAAATTGAGACATATATAAAAATGTCAATATTTCCGAAACACTTTCAACATTTAATATGAAAATGTTTTAATTTCTATACTCGTGTTTAAATCTTCCGTAGTCACTTAGTTGATTTTACTAATATTAGTCATCCAGGGTAATCTAATACCCTCAGTATAAAATGTATTTCTGAGGTTCCCATTTTTAACGAATATAATATTTGTCATGGAATATATGTCATGAATGTATGTATAACTAAAAATGTTATAGTTAAATGACATTTTTTAAAACATTTTTCGATATATCCAATTTTAATTGAAACACTAACCGTTACTAGTAATTAATCTTATTTAATTGTTTGTATGTCATATTAAAATAATATGATGAATATGCTCTTTACATTTCTATAATAGATAACATAAGCAACTTATTTTTATAATTGTTTTATAAATAATGATGAATAAGAACCCTATATAATATGGTTAAAAATTGTTGAAAAAATACAACACAATATAATTGTATTTGTATAAACTTAGTTAAAATAAAATGTTCTTTAATTAAGAAATGTATTTTTTTTTATTATAGTATATTATATACGCTTTAATGTAATACATATATAAGTGTCAGTATTTCCGGAAAATGTTCAAAAGTTAATTTTTTGTGGAAAAGTTATTATTTTGAATCCACTCCTGTAAGCAGGTTAAGAGTCTAAAATTAAAAAAAATATATACCAAATGATAGAAAAATACCTAATGTATTTATAATAAAAATTTTGTTTTTATTCATTTATTTTACAAAAAGTTATGGCAGTCTTAAGTAACAAAAAAAATTAATTTAATAATTACCTATGATCATACTTAAGAGAGTTATCAAGTTAATTTCTCTTTTAAAATATTTTTATTGCTTAATTGTTATTTTTAATTAAAAAGTTGATTTTTAGTTGTACACAATTTTCTAAAATCAAAAAAATCTTTTTATATATGTATTATTTTGCTCATATACTTAACCTAATATTATTTAATAAATAATAGATGGTATACATAAAGTTATCATTAATAATATTAAAACCTTTAACTTAAAATAATGAAATACGAATTTGAATGTTAAATTTTTAACATGGGTTTTTAATCATTATACAATATTTAATAAGTTTAGTAAAATATATTTATTTTTTTAAACTATTTGTAAAAATAAATGATCAAGTTAATTTTGTTACCTAGTAATATGTTATATAAAATTTTGCAAATAAACATTTGTAAACTAAATAATTCCAGTTAGTTCTCTGACTTCGTTAGTTGAATAATTTACGCTCTTTAGATAAATTTAAGACAAATATTTTGAATCATTTGAAAACTTTCTATAATTAAGTGATCTTTTAAAAATATACAGTTTATTAACACAGTTTTGGTATATTTCAAGATGAATAAAATCATTCATCACCCATATGCCATGTCTAGAAGACAAAAAGGTTAGTAGATTTTAATTATATTTAAATAATATGTAAAAATGAAAAAATTTTGCATCGTTACTACCTTTTAATATTTCAAACTTATTAGTCTTTTGTGGTCCAGCGAATTCTTTTTTTGTTAGATTTATAGATGTAGAATAAAACACTTATTTAACTGACTGACTATACCCAATAATTTTTACTTTATGAAAACTTCTATGAAACCAATCTTAATTAAGCTAGAACATTATTTTTATAAACGTGTAATTTATTTTTCGAGCATATTAAAAGTAAAAAAAATGTTTAACACTTGATAACTTAAATTAATAAAATTTATTTAGGTTTAAGACAAAGTAATACTGGCTTTTCTAATTTACCTGATGTTTCTTATAAAATGGATTTTATACCGAAATTGCCCCGCGTAAGTCACAAAAAATATTTCGAATCAATGAAACAGAAAAAGATGTCTGCCATTGAAAATTTGAAATGTATTTTGAAAGGGGTCTACGGTGATTATATTCATCGTCAACGTTGTACATTAAATGAAAAAATGGATTGTGATCCTCCTAAATTGGTAGAAACTGATAAAGTTGTACCAATGGAAGTGGTCACAGAAGAAATAGAGATGGACATGGACATGATGTTAAATCTCTATAATCTGACTCTTTCAGAGGAAAACTATATAGTATCAACAAATATCGTAGAAAGTCCAAAGAAACCAATTATACAGCCTGCTAGATTAATATTACCTCAAGTTCATTTTAAATGGACTAAAAGTGTTGAAGATTTATATAATTCTTAATATCACTGATTCATTCTAAATTATTTCATGAACATTTCTTATGTTCGATTTAAAGTTACTAAAAACTAATATTTTAATAGTTCTCAATACTAAAAAATATATTCCTTTTACTATCTCGTAATAAAAAAAAAGCTCTTAAATCAATGCAATAATTACATCGGCCTCGTAGGTATCTAATTTTTTCTTCAATAAAACTACCATCTGGGACTTTATTATTAACATAAACCATACATTAATTATTTAAATTTTTCTTTGTAAAATACTTTTTGGTACTATCTGTATAAACTGTCCTTCAATATCAATAATTATTTAAGAAAAAACAATTTATTTATTTCAAAATATTATTTGCTCGTGTTGATTTTTAGTTACCAATGTTACTGTCCTCGCATAAATAAAAATAGAATAGATTATAATCTTTTTCTCAAATTTTTTATATTTTATATGTAATTTTATTATTATTTAATTTAATAGAATTGTAATATTTTCTTTTTGTAACTGTGAAACATTTTTATTCGTATTTTAATATTGTTTTTACTTAAATAACATTTTTTTTTTGTTATAAATTTTTAATTTTCTACGATTTTTTGTTAATAAATAAACATAATATAATTTGTTATATTTTTCTGATGTTTAATTTATTTTATATATTATTCTAATAAAATATAAATTCAATAATTAAAAGTGATTGAGAGAAATTCGACAAATATTTTTGAAAATAATATCTTAATACTTACATTTAAAGAACTATTTTATGTATAAAATAATTCCTTTAAATTTAAATTTATGAATGTTTACTATATAAAATTTTGTGATTGAGTACATAAAAAAACAAAATACGTCTTAGTAATTTAAAGATTATAAATATATACACGATGGCTCACCACTCATTGACAGCTTAAATAACTTTTGATCCAGTTAATATTTTTAGTTGATTTTTTTTTTTTATATAATAGTTATACGTTAGGTCTATAGCTATATCTCAATAATTCATTTTTTTACATTTTATTAAAAATATTATTGATTTTTAAATTTTAAATAAAATGTAAAAAAAAAATCTAAGATAGCTATTTTGTAGAGTAGAATTTAAGAAAAATTTTAGTAAAAAAATATCTTATTAATATTGAGTAGTAAATATTCTGTAGCGTTTTGAAGTTTGTGAAATTTTGAATTTTCATGTATTATTTTACGGTATTAAACATTGAAATACGTATTGGGAAAAGGACAAAAGAAACGCTATCTTTTCAATATACTTTTGAATGAGAGTGATAAGTGATAATTGCCTTATCTAATTTCTTATTGTGATATTAATGCCAAGTTTTTAATGTATAAACATTATCATCATATGTATACACAGTAATCATGAAAAGATAGAGTTTTCTTCTGTCCTTTTCTCAATACGTATTTCAATGTTTAATACCGTAAAATAATACATGAAAATTCAAATTTTCACAAACTTCAAAACGCTACAGAATATTTACTACTCAATATTAATAAGATATTTTTTTACTAAAATTTTTCTTAAATTCTACTCTACAAAATAGCTATCTTAGATTTTTTTTTTACATTTTATTTAAAATTTAAAAATCAATAATATTTTTAATAAAATATAAAAAAATTAATTATTGAGATATTGCTATGGACCTAACGTATAACTATTATTAAAAAAAAAATCAGCTAAAAATATTAACTGGATCTAAAGTTATTTAAGTTGTCAGTGAGTGGTGGGCCACCCTGTATATATATATATATGAATGTCAGTATTTTCGGAACATTTTCAAAAGTTAAGTTGAAAAATTTAATTTTTTGTAAAAATTTTGTCATTTTGAGTTCCCTCATGTAAATTATATTTACTTGGTTATTTTAAAAAAAGTTATGGCAGTTTCAAGTAAAAAAAATTGAAAAAATTGAGATTTCCCCCATTTACGGGGAATGAGGAAATTTTTTTTAATTTTTGAGGGTAATGTTTTCGACTAGGTAAAATTTGTGATGTTTTGACATATCGTTGAATTAAATCGGTTTTGTGAGAGTTGAGAAAAAGTGGTAACAAATACAAAAAAAAATCATAGTAAAATTAATAAATCTCAGATTCGCATCGAATCTAAAATAAAATGAACTAAAATCGATATGTTCTAAATAATAAAATAAAATAAGTTATCTTTACAAATTGAAAATGCAAAATATAATATTTCAATTATGTAAAATTATTATATAAAGCAAAATATTCAAAATTACTATTACATATAATTCAATTATTTATTATAATACAAATTTGGTTTAATAGGATATATGTCCCATCGATAAGACAACAAATTTCTTTTGGAAAAATATTTTAAAAGTTTGTAATATTTGATTTTTTTAAATAAATAAGTTACTTCGTTAGGTATTATTGTGTCAGAAAGTAACAAAATAAATAAATTAATACTAAAAAAATGCAAACATTTTTATTAGATAATGTGGGTTTGTTTTCATACACATGTTAGGTACACGCGTTGTCGACTTGCTAACGATAACATGATGTTATCTTTAGGAGAAATATGACTATCTAAGCTGATAAAAATTTTCAATGTTAATATTCTAAATGTAGGGAACACATAGGGACAAAATTTAAAATATGTCTAAATTTTTATTTAATATAGATTAAGTCGATATAAATTTTATGAAAATCAGTGACCTCATCACTATGACTACAAGTGTACGGAACGGAGTTTTAATGTTATAAATAGATGTTCCATTGTATTGTTACTAATGGTAACGGGTTTAGGTAACAAAGTACTACAGACAGAAACAATAATAATTATTCTACCTCATTTAGATTATGACCTGGTATGTGATTTATTAACGTGTCAGCTTAGTTTGTATAATTAATTATTCTAATATTAATGTTTATGATAAATGTTACAATTTTATTAAAGAAATTATTAGTAAACACCCAACAGCAGATTTTTTTATTACTGGAAGATAACAATTTACAATTTTAACACGCTTATTTTTTATTAACACGCTTATATTAGCTTCAACTGTATGTTTGTTTTTTAATTTATTTTTTAAATAAGATAGCTAGGTTTCCTTCACATTCCCTTTTCTCCAAGTTATTTCAATCACACAGTTCTACAGCAGTTAATTCCCCACCCGGTTATCATAAATTGTCAATAGCACAACAATTGTAGATTTCCACTTCGCTAGTTATTTTTTTTTAATATTAAAACAAGTAGATTAACCAGTTGTTGGCCTATACAATCTTTAACGCACGCGCGAGGCGCCGTCGCTGATACGCTTAAAATTGCAACGACAGCGGGAGACAAATAGTCATATAAAACCGTTTGTATTATTAATTACGTTGTAACGGGTAATGTGGAATTAGGGTTGGATTCCAAAGAGGGAGTCTGAGAAACGGCTATCACATCAAAGGAAACCAGCAGGCACACAAATTATTTTTTTGTGAAAAAATTGTCATTTTGAATCCCACCCTTAGGGTAAGTAAAGGGTCCGATTTATAAATAAAATGATAAGTAAAGACCTCATGTATCTATAAAAAAAATTATACTAATTCGGCCATTTTTAAAAAAGTTATGCCAGTTTTAAGTAAAAAAAAATTGAAAAATGTCGAAAATTAGAGTTTTTAAATTTGTAATTTTTTTTGGTGATTTCCTCCATTTACGGAAACGAGGGAAATGTTTTCAATTATTTAGGGTAATATCTTCGACTATATACGATTTGTGATCTTTTGACGTATAAATATCATAGACACACAATCAGTTTTTATATCATGAGTATGTATACGAAATTGGTATTATTCCGAGATATATTATACAAATATATTATTAATATTATACACGTATAAGTGTAGTACCACAAGTCGTTTTTTACTTATGTTTTTATCATAATGTGTTATGTAAAAATATAATTATATTTTTTTGGAAAAGATCAATAAATTTAAGTACTACTGAACAACTCGTTACTGGTAGTTAAATAAATATCTAGATATCTATTATACTAATAAACATAACCCTATCTTAGAAATTATTTGAAATGATTATCTAAAATGAATTAATGGATGTATAATTTAATCTAGCTGAGATGAAATTTTATATTATTTTTATTCACATAAAAAACCATTAATATTATCTAGATTTTCAAAAACTGTTTAACACATACAACTTTTATGTCAAACAACAAAATTTAATTTAATAAATATAAAATTTTTTCATAAATTTCGTTATTATTTCAATATTTATTTTAAATAAATATTTACATAAGCTTCAATTTTGTGGAAAAGAAATGCAAAATATCTGTAAAAAAAAAATATATCATTAAAATTTATATTTATGGAGGAAATTCTAACCTTACGCAATGAAATATTATAATTAATTTTTGAAGATTAAATATTTAATATATATTTACTTCTTATAAAAAATAATATTTATTATTATATAGTTGAGAGTTATGTTCCATTACGTGAACTCGTTTTTGATGATAATTAAATATATAATTTGAAATTTGAAAAATTGAATTTACCATAAATATGTATTAAATATTAATTAATAATGAATATTTTTTTTCTTTTATGACATCAAACACAATTTCAGAATTAAAATATTCATAATTCTCGACATATTAAAATTATTTGAATAATAGAATAAATAATAACTATTTTCTAAACTTTATTTTAACACTACCTTTTCGTGATTACTATAATTTGGAGATGTGTAACTTTTTCCATGAAAATGACATACTTTTGAATGAGAGTGATAAGTAATAATTGCCTTATCAAATTTCTTATCATGGTATTAATGCCAAGGTTGTAAATTATAGTAATCACGAAAAGATAGAGTTTTCTTCTGTCCTTTTCTCAATACGTATTTCAATGTTTAATACCGTAAAATAATACATAAAAATTCAAATTTTCACAAACTTTAAAATGCTACAGAATATTTACTACTGAATATTAATAAGATATTTTTTTACTAAAATTTTTCTTAAATTCTACTCTACAAAATAGCTATCTTAGATTTTTTTTTACATTTTATTTAAAATTTAAAAATCAATAATATTTTTAATAAANTATTTGAGTTTTTAATTTAATAGTAAATGGCATTTGAATTTTTAATATAACTTTATTAGCTTATTATATATAAACATTTAAAGTTTCAAAATTTTGAGTTAATATACATGTATAATACACATGGGATTGTAAATACAGGTAGCTAATTGGATTTTTATGACATTGCTGTCTCAGTCACGGATTGTTTATTATCAATTATGATTATCAATAGATATACTTTCTGTATTGTCAGTTNATTATGATTATCAATAGATATACTTTATCTATATATGAATCTATATATCTTTATCTATAAAAACTATTATTGTGATAAACAGAGCTTCGATATGAGAAATGTCAAAGAGGTTGTCTAATTCTTTAGAAAAAAATATTGTAATGTTGTTCTTGTGTTTCTGTTTTTTTAGATTTATTTTTGTCCAACTTTCTCTATTTCTCATACAATATTTTTAATTTAATAACACAGTCTGAAGAATACTGTGTAGGAATATGCGCTTTTCTCCAAAATATTAAACACTCATCTATTACAATTATTATTTTATTGTGTTTGTTGTTTTTTTTTTTATTTAATATAACTAAGAAAATTTGTTTGTTTATAAACAAAAAAACATACATGCAAAAAAATTAAAAAAAAAAAAACACGTTTTCGTAGTTGTTTTAAATTTTTTTTTGGAAAGGATTCATAATTCAAGAAAAACTCAAATAACGTTTTTTATAGAAGATATCACGGTGATTAATATTACTTCTGTACAATTTCTGCGTACAATTAAAATTTAAGACACTGGAAAAGTATAACTGAAAACTATGTCATTTTTTAAAAAAAATTAAGTGAAACTGATTTTTCTTATTTTTACGAAAAATATTAATTTTACAAAAAAATAATGTATTACCTTATTATTTGTTCACATTTAGTTCTATAAAAATTGTTCTTTGTGTTTTTGACGAAACTTCAAAAATAAAGAGCGTACACTCAAAAAAAGATAATCCACCCCATTTTTGAAGAACTTCAATCCCTTTGAGGCACGTGAAGGGGTTGACTTATTATACTCAAATTTTACCAGTTTCATTTATTCAGTGAACCTAACGAAATTTTGAGCCCATGACTCTGAATTTATGAAGTCGAAAAATAAGGACCACCCTAATATACATTTCTATTAATAATTAGTATACTGAATGAACAAATAGTTGATAACTAAAAAATATCTGCGTATAGTATAATGACTAACACATGTACTAAATATTACAAATATCAATAAATTAAAAATCATCTAAGGAATGTTTTTCGTTTAAGGTATTCAAAATATCCATTTATTAAGTCATGCTTCATACCAGTCCCTTACAATTTATTATCTACACTCACATCAAGGTTTCTATCACAATTAACCAATCACAAATAATTATAAAACATCTCAGAAATTTCACTAGATATCACTTGCTTACTTTATCTAGAATATAAAAAGCCATTTTTTTTCATAAAAATGGTAAGTGCAAATATTTATTTGCATGTTTTTACTCCTTAAAAATTCACGAAAAAAAAAGAATAAGAGATAGTGAAACAGAAATATTTTATTATTATATAACTCAAAATTGTTTGACCTCGAAATACCCATCAACTATATACCTTCTCTTTTCTCCTTTATCACTTTTAATGTTTTTGTTTATTACATTTGTCATTGAGAAAATCACAGCCAACATGATCTCATTAGAGTATTGCGTGTTATTTTATTAATTATAATCATAGGTGTCACTAGAAATTTGAGACTACAGGGCCTGAGGTCTCACAATTTTTATTTAAGTTTCTAATTTAATGTCAAACAAAATTTTCAGTATGCAATTTTGAACGGGGTAGTTGCTACCACTTGATTTATTGCTAGGTTAATTTTAAGATCGTTGATTATACAACTTTGCAAGATCTAATTTTTTTTAATTGAAAGATAAAAAAATATATTTTTATTAAATTATTTTATGGATGCTAAAATAAAAAGCATTGTTTATATATATTAATGACACGTAATTTTGTATTTTATTTATTAATTTTATAGAAACACTCAATTTTATAAGTAATACATAAAAGTACCAAAATATCTTTTATTTATAATTTTATTTTTCTGCGAGGCGCTTAGGAATTTAATAGAATAACATTTTAAAGGATGCTATTTGTATTTTTTTTCTATCCTAAAAATATTTTATATGTATATGATAACAAAAATAATATTTTAAATTTGTTTGGGAAAGCAATTCGTTAACTCAGGGAGAAAACAAAAACAAAACATTATGAATTAAAAACTTTGAACTAAAATTTTTTTTCTAAATTACCATCGCATTTAATTGTTCCATCTTCATTTTTGGTAGTGTTTTCAATTATATGGTCAATTCTTTTATCAAATATTCCAATCTCTTTCATAGCACATACTGCTTTATCTATGCTGATTGTATCGTTATCATTTTTAATTTCTTGGAACTTTGTTTTAAGTTTTTCCATTTTTTTTTTAACGATTTTTACAAGTCCATTAAATATTAAGTCTAAAGATACAAATTCATTGTCTAAAAATGAGAAAAAAAAAATTTTCAATAAGTAATATTCATGCGTTGTAATTTTAAATATTTTCCCATATTTTATATTAATATTTTAGATAAATAACTTCGTGTTAAAAAACTAAATCATGTTCCTTTATTTCCTACTATTCTTTACAAAGAAATCCAATTTGGTTGAGACAATTACTAATGATGGAATCTATAATTGTCAAGCTTCTAACTTTTTTCTCTACTTTCCGTGTAAACTATGCTAGTGCTAAAGTAAAGTAATATTTTGTATGTATTCAAAAGGTTGATACACAGATTTCAAAATTTTACTATAAAAATTTATCAAAAATTTGATAAAAAAAAAAAGAAGTCCAATATAATAAGAACCCGGTTTAGTAGAAATTTAGTTAAGTTTATCCGAACATAGATTGATATTGATAATAATCACTATTACAAAATGCTTCAATGCAATTTTTCTTGATGATATTACTTTTCATGATAAAAAAATAAATAAAATACTTGAATAACATTATAAAGTTACTAAAATATGAATTTTAAAAACCTTTAATTCAACTTTTGAAGATACTGTCTTCAAATAAATTTATAAATCGATTTAAACTCGAATTCTTTTGACAAATAGAATGATAATATTAGTAAATTAGATCTAAGAATTTATATAAATGTGCATGACAGAAATACAAAAAAATACTTTATGGTAAATGCATGGCCTAATTATTCATTAATTAATGAAAAGTTTCTAGTTACAAATTGCTGATACTAAAGGTAACATTATCTTGTTTAACATTCATCTTTTTTGATGAAAAATTTTTGATCATAATAACTTAAAATTTGGTAGAAACCCTACTTCATATATTGAGACTAATTTGTAATAATATCATTAATTAAAATTAATTATTTGAAGATTTTTTTTGTTATTTGAAAAAATATCAAATTTATCATATTGCCCCACTTCTGGGGGAAGTTTTTTTTTTTTAATGAGAAAAATTGATATACTTTACTTGATATAAGTTATACTTAAAAATTCTATATGACTATATTCTACAGTTGTGATCAATCCCATGAATGCGAAGTGAAATTCATAGTAAACAATATTATGTTATCATTTATAAGAAACTTTATATCGCATAGTGAAAGAATCTGTCAATTATAGTTAAATTGTAAATGGGGAGACCTTGCAATAACAAATTGCCATGCTCCAACTGATGGATAAAAAGAAGCAAACTAAAAAAGAGTTCTACAACCAACTTGAGAGAACTTATGACAGTATACCTTATAGGACTTAAAAGATTATGATAGGAGACTTAAATGCGAAAATCTGCAAGGAGCAGGTGTTCAAGCTTACTATAGGGAACTATAGTCAACACGATATATCTAACGGTAATGGGAACAAACTTATATCATTCGTGATGTCAAAAACATGACTATTAGTAGCTCATATTTCCCACACAGAGAACTACATAAACAAACCTGGATGTCTCCTAATGTGCATAAAAAAAATCAAGATAGTCCATATTATGATGGATGAACAACTCAAACAAAATGTACAAGATGTAAGAAGTTATAGGGGTGTAAGTGGCCCTTCAGATAATTTTTTAGTCAAGGTTAAATTTTACATAAAACTATCCACTAAATGAAAACAAAAGAGAAAAATGTACGGCAAGTTCGATATAGACAAATTAAAGGAGAATCAAATAGTTAGTCAATATAGAAAAGGTTCAAAAGACAAGGTGTACAACAACCTAAACCTAAAATATAAAGAACACTGGACGAATTTAGGGGAAACGATATAAGAGGTGACAGAAGAAAAAGTTAGTATAGTAAACAACAAAAAACCAAACAATGGCTCAATGAAAACTGTAAAAAAACAATACATGAAATAGATAAAACAAAATCTTTGGTAGTTATGGAAAGCAATATAGAAAATAAAAGAAAACTAGCCCAGAAACAAAGAGAAATGAAAATTATAATAATAAGAAAAATAAAATAGAGTGGGAAAAACAACAGATCGAAACGATGGAGGAGTCTTTTAAAGACTTAAAAATGTTTTTCAGGAAAACCAACGAAATAAAGAGATCATATAAACCAAAATTGGCAATAATGAAAAATCAGAATAACGAATTAATAACAGACGAAGAATCCATCACTGAAAAGTTCAAAAGAATCTTCCAAGAAATACTGAATTAATCAGAAACCGAGGATCAAGGACAGGATGATGCTGTATTCACAATAATAGAACAACGTAAATGCATACCACGGGAGTAAGAAATTAAAGAATAACAAAGATAATATAATAATAATATATTATATATTATAATATAATATGTATAATATATATACATAATAGAGGCCGAACTATTAAAAAAGGGAGGAAGACATGTCAATGAGACATGGGAATTAATTAAGAAAATATGACAACAAGAACCAGAAAACTTTCATTGTTATAGAAGTATATCGTTACTCAATACAGCATATAAAATATTATCAAATATTATTTTAAATAGGCTGAAACCATATGCGAAAGAAATAGTAGATGACTACCAGTGTGGTTTTGAATCCAGTTTAATCTACAGTTTTGACATGACCATGTGTTTACGCTAAGACAATTAATAGAAAAACATTACGAATACAATAAGACATTACACCTACTATTTATAAATTTTAAGCAGTCATACAGCTCTATCAAACAAAAACCACTGTTGAAAGCATGACAAAATTCAGTTCACCATCGAAATTATTCAGAATGGCGATAGCATGCATTGAGGGATCAAGGTGTAAAATCAAGTTTGGAAATATTTATACAGAAGAATTCGCAACAACAGTAGGTTGAAAAAATTTAGATGCCTTGTTATCAACATACATTGCCCTAGGAAATTGTTAGGAAGATTCAAGAAACAGCGAATCGTGTTAATTTCAATGAAAAAGCACACGCATTACTAGCTTACGCTAATTATGTAGTGATACTTGAATCATATAAAGAAGATATAAAAAATATTATTATAAAAAACGCAACTATTTAAGGTTTTAGTGAAACCGGTGATTCTATACGCATGCAAAACGTGGCCTTTGTCAGAAGGAACGAAATAAAATAAACAATGTTACAGAGAAATTTCCTATGATGCATTTTTGTTCTAAAAAAATGATCCCATAGGTGATAATGAAATAAGATCCAATATGGAAATTAAAGACGTGTGGCGAGAAGAGGACATCTTACAGACTCTCAAAAGAAGAAAAATGAGGTGGCTTTATCACATATAGAAATCTAATGGAATCATAAAGGATGCGCTTAATTGAAAACCAGAAAGTAAGAGACCACGGGCATCCCGAAAAAAAGGTGGATAAATTAACCCAACCACAATTTCCGGATACTTAAGGTTGATAACCTTGAGGAATTGGCAAATGACAGAGATGAATGGAAAAAGCTGTGTGAAGCAGTGATGGACTTCAGTGGCCTATAAAAGCTGATGATGTTGAATATGTATTTCCTATTTAAGAAGAAGCCATCTACTAGCTCCTTAATCCAAACTAAACCATAAAACAATATTATATCATTCTTTCATAAAATATATAAGTGTGATTTAAAACAAATAAATGTAATGAACTCAATATGTATGAATTAGTATTGAATTATTTAAAAATAGTTCCATAAAAAATTCGCAAAAATGACTTAATTTTTTCAAACTCAAAAAGATAATGTTGCCCTAACCGTCAACTTACTTCATTCTCCCATAATATCAGTAGTATTAATGACTATTTAAAATAGTATAATGAGAGAGAACCTGTATATAAATAAAAAAAATTGAAATATCGAGCTGTACACGGAATTGTTCGAGATAAATATAATTTTTTTTTACAATAGAATTTTACGGATCTAAGAAAAATATTGAGATATTTTCAATTTTGAGCTTAACAAGTTTGTCTATAATAAGCAGGGACTGATATGTTTTTCAATTATTTAAAAAATATTATTTAGAAACTTCTCAAAAAATGTTGAAAATTGCCACTGATTTCGTTATACTAATATTCCAAATTAAATAAAATGTAGAATAAAATATTATATATATATATATATATATATAAGAATAACTAATATTTAAATTTGTAAAGATATACTATGAACGTATGAAATAGTGTGGAATAATTTTTCATTCTAGAACTATACACTGTCGTAACACAGGAAAGAGAATGGTGTAGTGAAAGTGTGTAAGTGTGTAACTATGTGTACGAAGATGAATATGAGGAGGTGGTGCCTGCTGTCTAGGTATTCACGTGCGTGTTGTCGTACAGCAGTCACCGTGCTCGGCTGACACTCCGGGTTAGCTGTGGGTGTCGAAAGGCTGTTGTTATAGGAAGGGAGAATAAGAGTAACACCTAGGTATGAGGTGCAGACGAAGTGCAAGACACAAGTACTCTGAAATGTCGAAGAAAAGAGTATATAGGTTAGAAAAGGAATAAACAAAGACTTTACTTTAAACAGTAAGCCGGACAGCGACAACCGAGTACTGAGACTGATGAATGACACAAGGCACTGGAGTCGACTGACCACGATGGTCAGGTCTATTGGGTTTTTATAATAATTATACTTATTGCCGATTTGGCAATAAATATTATTTGTTAATTCATCAGTCTCAGGCAGCGGATGTGCTGTCTGTATTTTATTAAAATAATTCTCACGATTATGAAAACGTGACACCATCACAACACTAAAACCTAAATCCACTATATTTTTACTTATAAAAAATATATTGTTCAGTTTTTAATGGAACAAATACAAGTACGTTCATCATGTTAATGAATTGTATATGACATTAACAATAAGAATAATTACTGAAAACACAAGATCTTATATTGAAACAGAACTTTTTTTAAATTATAAAGAATCTATTTATGCTGTCATTTTAATATTTTAATTTTTAATCATTAAAATTTATATTTAAATGCTTATTTTAATATCAGACAAACTTGGCAGATCCTCATAATATGAATCAGAATTACCACAATCGTCTTTGAAAGCAACTTTATCGCTATCACTTGAATTAGAATCATCATAACTGTCTATAAGAGTATCTATATCGCTAATACTTGAATTAGAATTATCATAATCGTCTATGAGAGCATCTATATAGTTATCACTTAAATCAGAATCTTCATAATCGTCTACGAGAAAATCTGTATCGCTATCACTTGATACATTCAAATCTAGCGTATTTCTTCTTTTTACATTTTGGCTATCATTTTCATTGAAAGTGTTCAACATATCTTTCTTATGATCTTCAATACTAAGCTGTTCATTTTCAATCTAATCACGAGTAGTGATATTTTTTATAGAATAAAATGATTGTAATTAGTTATAATTCAATATTTTAGGTATTCAATCTTATTATAAATTCTAAGATATTTATACAATATTTCGGTTATACAATGTAATTTATTAAGAACACCACTTCCAAAATTTGTATTTAAAAATATTTTTTTCATAAAAATTAATAAATATGTATAAAATTATATATATATTTATTGAACACTGAATTTTAGTTTAGCAAACACTAACCCATACTTTACCTAGTTTAATTCTTTAAATATTAATATTTCAAAAAGTAACATCACAAAAATGACTACGCACCAATCTAAATTTGCATATGTCCATTACAAATTTCAATAATTACTTCTAAAAACTAACCTTAATAATAGTGAATTATGTATAATTAAAAAGATCTTAAAATATTATTTTAAAACTAAAAATAAAAAATGTTGAACTCAAAAAGCAACAAAGACAAAAATCGGGAATAAGGATTTCGAAAACAATGTCACTATTATCAACGCTAAAGACATACTCAATTTATTGTATGAATGTATAATATGTAGTTTATAAAACTAATTACATTTTACTCAGAACATTTTTATGGAAAAATCATTATTAAACAAAAAAAAAAAACGGCAGCGCAGTGAGGTCGTGGCATAGTAGGGACAAGGATAGATGAAAACTGACAGTGATTAGAATTACTATCATAAAAAACGCATCAATGCAAATTTGTAGATAGTATTTAATTTTAAAAAATTGGTGGATTTTTCCAAAAGCAGAATTAAATCCTATTTAATATAATTAAGAAAAAAATACAAAAAAAGTAATTTTGACAGGTGGGGTTCGAACCTCGTTCCCGAACACAATATATTGCATCTAACACCAATGCAGCAATCATTTATTTCAAATGAAAGAGCAATACCTACAGTTTCTATATAAAAAACAATTATTTTGATTTGTACATTTTTGACAAAGTTAAGGCAATTAAAAAAAAAATATATCAAATCGAAAATTTTAGCTCAAGAGTAGCATTTTTGTAGAAGAATAATCGTTGGGACATCTTTGTTTTTACTTATAGTACATAATGTAAGTTTTAATTTGACATATGTTTAAAGAACGCAGTAATTTTAGAACATTTTCAAAAGTTAAGTTTAAAAGATTGACTTTTGCAAAAAAGTTTCTATTTTGAATACCCCCTTATATGAACAGGTTAAGTGTCAGATTTACAAAATAATGATATAAAATGAAAATATCTACGAAAATTTTAACACAAAAATAGAAGATTTAATGATTTAATTAAACTAATAACAATTATCAAGAAGTTTTTAATAAAATCTAATCAATTGTAAGCGTATTATAAAATTTGATTATAAATGTAAAAATCTCTTGTTAAATTCAAGTGAAACAAAAATAATTTTTTTTTAGATTTACAGTAACATGTTATAAAAATTTTGGTATGTTATAGACTGGTATTGACTCACAAATGGAGTTAAAAAATTAATAAATTACAAAATAAAATTATATACTTTTGTAGTTGAATACTTTTATTTTATCAAATCTAATTCGACAATAAATACTTTAAAAATATTAGAAATTAATGGTTTTAATTGTTTGTATGGATAAATCTGATTAAGCTACTTTTTATTTGATAATATTCATGAAAGTCATTGTATTTCCCTTGTAAGATATTTTAAAATAAAATACAAAACTTAGAATTTAGAATTTTAAAACAAAAATAGTACATTTTTTAATACGGAAGTCATTTTCACCAAGAAGAAAATCTATATTTCTAATTTTTTTTTCATAGTGGAGTATATAATATAAACTTTAATTTAATATATGTTTAAAGGACGCAGTATTTCCGGAACAATTTCAAAAGTTAAGTTGAAAAAGTTAATCTTCGTAAAAAAATTTGCTATTTTAAATCCCCCCGTGAGCAGGTTAAGTGTTAGATTTTTAAAAAAAATGATATCAAATAAAAGGAAAATATTTAAGGTTCCAATATAAAAAATTTAATTTGATTTGTTAATTTTTGAAAACTTTATGGTAGTTTTAAGAAAAAAAAATTATAAAATTTACCGATTTTAAAAATTGTAATTTTTTTGGAAATTTCCCCCATTTACGGGAACAAGGGAAAATTTTTCAATTTGTATGAGTAATTACTTCAGCTAAATACGATTTGTGATCTTTTGACATATTGTTCATCAAAATCGGTCCAGTGAAAGCTGAGAAAAAGTAGCAACAGGCACAAAAAAAAAAACACATCATGGTAAAATTATTACCTTCTGAGCTTCGCATCAAACATAAAATTAATAATAATTTGAAAAGAATTAATTATAAAAATTATATAATATATAATTAAATATTATATACGTCCCAACTGTGCCACGACTCCACTGTGCTGGGTTTTTTTTCATTTTATAGTACATGACATAAGCTTTAATTTTATATATGTTTAAAGGTCGCAGTATTTCCGGAACATTTTCAAAAGTTAAGTTGATAAAATAAGTTTTTGTAAAAAAGCTACTATTTTAAATCTCCTTTGTGAGCAGGTCATGTATTAAATTTTCAAAAAAATGATATCAAAAGAATAAATTGGTGTTAAAAATTATTACAGCATGCAGTGACTGGTGATTATCATTGATCTATTATAATAAATCTCGATTGATTGTTTTTTCATATATTATCAGATTAAAATAAATAAATCAAATGTATTAATTTTAATATAATATATTCTATGATTTACTTCTTCAAAGGTCATTACTAGATATTATAGTTTTAAAATAACAGGTATATAATATTTATTAATCAATAAATAATAATAATTTAAGTATCGTTTAAAAAATACTTATTTGTCAATATTCGTAGTTTCATGTTCTTGTCTTTGTTGACACTACAAAAATACTTTTACGAACCATAAGTTTTAAAATATTAAATTTTACTTCTATTAAATTTAAGAATTTATAAAATTATAATTTAATCATACTTTTAAATTAAAATATTAACATTTCAATAAATTAATTAACATTTCATATAATATCAAAAATTAAAGTTGTTAATCTGAATTGTATCAAACATAATAACAAACTAATAATTAATAACAATTATTGTTTTCTTATATTAAGAATTATCTTAATTACCTCTTTGTCAGTATCTAAAAAACTTTGAGTAGATTCAGGAATTTCTGGCGATAGTTTTTTATTTATTGAAGTACTGAATGTGCAATTTAAAATAACTAAAAAGCAAAACAAAATTAAACAAAAATGCATTATGTATGCTGTATACATTATGTAATCTTAGTGCAGAGTTCAAAATAGTTAATAATTTTGACTTGATTAAAAATCTTATAGTTAATTTTAAAATTTTGCTTTATATCAAGTTGTATATAAATGATACTTATTTTTCTTATATTTTTAGAATTTAGAAAATATTGTACTGTTGTTTGTGAAAACAATTAAATTCTTATTTTCTTAGCGTTTTTTTAAATTATTCTATGACGTGCTTATAAAATTTAAGCTAAGAATAGTCCATAAATTACTGAGTGATTATAAAATAATCTATTTTTAATGATAATGTGTACACAATTAGTTAAATAAAAAAATATTTTTTTTAAATTATGTTTGTAGATGGGTAGTGTTAAAATATCATTGTTATTTAAAATTAAAAATATATTTTTTATATATTAATTTTTTAAATAAAAAACATTAGCTTAAAAAGTCAAAAAAACTATCTACTATCGTTTTTTCGACTTCCTTAACCAACTCAACCACAGGTATGACTACACAAGACTTCAAACCCCTTAGGTAAGCAGCTGAGCAATAAAAGTTTGGTGTCAGATGTAGGGTAGTCTGTAAAGCCTGAAGAAAAGGCAAGGGCATCGAGGAGTCCAATTATGCAAGAACTGTTCGTTAGTAAGTGATTGTTGGCAGTAACCAAATGATACGAAATACGACTCGGTTCTATCGCCTTAAGCAAATTAAAATACCTTAAATATTATAACGAAGAAAATGAATAGATAAAAATAATCATACAATATACAATTTCTGATCAGTTTTAGAATAATATTAACGTTCATAATCAGGGATATAATATGTTTCATCTAGTAAATGATCTAAGCGTTGTGACCGAGTTGGTAAGGTAGACAAAATAAAGAGATAATGCGTTTGAATAATAGTTGCTATTAATTATATTTAAATATATATTTACACTTATAATTGACTATACATCTTTAAGAAGTTAATACTTAATAACATAAAAAGATTCAGTGAGCAAAATAACATAAATGATTCAGTGAGAAAATTAACTAAAGATTCAATGAAAATGATTCAGTGTAGAGTTTTCCAGGTTTAACCTTATAAACTATATAACTCTTGAACGAGTAGCTGACTACTACTGGCGCGTCGCCTCAGTCGGCGGCAGCCGTAGGCTCAATACTTTGAAAATAACTGAGCAAGCATCAAATATTCTAGAAGCATGGGCGCTCGCAGAAAATTTATCAGGGGGGGGGGCAAAAAAAATTAAATACCAAAAAGTAACATTAAATTGTAACGTGACAAAATGTGAATTTTATGATATTGATAGATTACTGTTTTGCTTTGCTAATGGTCGCGCGTACGTTATATCCGGCCGTGTAATCAGAATACTGTACTGTTGCTGTCAAGGTGAACGCTATACACACAATATTCTTTATCAGTTTAACAATCGTTCCCTATATGACACATACACTGGCCACCACTGTCCATACCTGTATAACTCTAATATTGTTCATATTTTTATCTGTTGTATATTTTGTAAATCGTTAAGCCGATACCCTCTCCCAAACGGGTTCGTCGTCGTTGTGTCTCGCCCGGTGTGTAGAAATTTTTTCGTAGCTCTCTTCCCTTTGAACCACCGTCATGGTCTGTTTTGCTGTGTGCGTGCAGCCAATTATAGTTTTTTTTCGTGTGCGTTTTTCATCTTAATAATGTATTAATTCAGCAGGGCGTCGGCCATTTCCGGGGCCGAGATCCCCATCTTAGGATGAGTCCCATCCGGGACTGGGTATCGTATTGTTGTTTTTTCTTTTATTTATTTAATGTAATGTATTGAGCCTTTCTTTTTTCTTTTCTGTCATAAATTAATTTTATTATGAGAGATAAATAATTTTAGCGTTGCTTGTTATAAGGTTATTGGTCAGTGGTGTGTCATGTTTATTTAACATATATATATATATATATTTTTCCCGCAGTACCCAAGTACGGTCCGGCCGGCCAGATTACAGAAATTATCCGCCGCGCCCGGAGTACACGGACTTGTTCCGATGCGGAAGACGCTTCACGTGTAATATTTAAAAGTTGTAGGTTAATTTTTTTTTTCTTAATAATTGTTTTTTTTTTTCTTTTCTCTTTTGTCCCTTTATTTGCAGAGTGGTTTTTGCCTTCGGGTTTTGTCCACTATTAACTTAATTGTAATAATTTAATAAAGTCCCCTTAATTTTCTTAATCAACAAAAATCTTTTTATTGCGTGAATATCTTCAATATTCACGTGTATCTTATTTTTTTTTCCTTTAAATCATTTTTCTCTAGTTTTAAGGTAACGGTCTTCGACATACTAAAGTATGTCCACCACTGGTGACATCAAACAAACATATTGGTTATACATTTACAAGGTATCAGCGTATTATAGTCTACCACAACTCTTTATATTTTTAGTATATGTTTATATATATATATATAATTTTTTTTTATTCACTTTATCTCATCAAAATGCATATTATTGGTTTTCTTATTATTTTTTTTTCAATTTTTTTTTTCTATTAAATCCACTTATGGTCCGGGTGTTGTTCTTTTCTGATCAAGACCCTCGCCTAAGTGGTTGGCGACCCATTTTCCTTTTTGCAAGGGAGCCATGAGGGTGGCGACTTCACAATCCGTTGCGTGGCCCAAGTCGTCACCTCTCAAAATAAAGTGTTAATTAATTGAAAATTTCAAAATATATATATATATATATTCATGAGTCATTACTAAATAAAAATTTTCAGATTATACAAATTTAAATCAGATTGGTTATAATTTTTAAAAATGTATTTCCAAAGTCCAGGGGGGGCAAACGCCCCCTCTTACCCCCCCCCCCATGCGGTCGCCCATGTATAGAAGGACTAGACGCTTGCTTGGTTAATACTTTATACACAAGACAAAGGGGCTTCCGTTCCCATTATTAATATATACTACTAAATTACACAATTACAATTAGGCAACAAAAGGCCAGTTCACAACATAAGGTATAGTAAATTATTCTACGTGCATAAAGCTGCGTAGTTAAAAAAATGCTATTTTTGTATTTATATAAAATTTTTGATTTAAAATTTTTAACTTTAAATTGCACCGTCATGTCCGTTATTGCATGCGTTTGTAGTCGACAGGTCACGACGAAAAAAAAACAAAACAAAGTCCAAAGCGAATTAATAAAAATTTCTTTTGGAGACCACAAATCGAACACACACATTAGTTAAATAAGTGCTATTGAAATTAAGGTAATATTTATAAATTTACTTTATAATTTATTGATAATATTAATAACTTTATCATACTCGATTGTGTAATCGAACTGTTTTTGACCACCGCAGCCGCTACGTCGGCCGTCGGTCTCAAGGTCAACTACTCTGACAACTCACACCTAATACACAATGAATTCTCCCGGAAAATCACTATCAAATATTAATAAAAATAAATTGAATAAAACCGCTACACCATTGTTTATTTCCAACCTGAACAACAATACCGGTGATGCATCGCCTTGTGATTTCTCTGATAATGATGACTGGCAGACAGTCGAATACCAAAATAAACGTATAAGATCCCCTAATAATATTTCACCACGCTCTAAACGACCTGGGGGTCTATTTTTCAATTGTCTGTTCACGAACGTATACGTTCAGATTTTATTTTATATAGGTTTATATGGCGAACGTTGTCCGTGAACACGTTCGGAACGTATGAAACATCGAACGGACGACCGTTCAAAACATTAATAAATATAGTTTAAAAAACTAAAAAAACACGCTTTTAAAGCACGTCGAACTAAAAAGTTAAAAATCATTTTTAAAATAAGTTTAAAATAATTATGAACAAAAAATACTAGTATTATTGTGATAAAAGCTTCGGGCGCTCAATATACGACAAATATGACACAAAGCACCCACGCTTTTATCACAATAATACTAGTATTTTTTGTTCATAATTATTTTAAACTTATTTTAAAAATTATTTTTAACTTTTTAGTTCGACGTGCTTTAAAAGCGTGTTTTTTTAGTTTTTTAAACTATATTTATTT